CCTGTTCTGTGCGGTCAGACACTGGATATGCCAACACGGTGCACCAGAAACTGTCTCCGCTGATGACGTGTACAATCGTACGTCCCTCCGGAAACTCCTTGCCGCCCACCACATCCAATTCAAACCAAGACCCAGCCGCCGTCACAACAGAACTGGAATTGTTGAAAGAAAAAACGCCACTATCAAGTGCATACTTTCGAAGCTGGATGACGAACAAAGTTCGACCGACACTGAGACCATCCTTGCCCGCTCTGCATTCTTCTCAAACTTATTCTCCGGGAGCGAGATACTCAGTTCGTTCGGGGGAGGTGCGTGGCGGTGTGGGGCGGGGCGGGGGGGGAGGAGGAGAAGTGAAGGGCATGGCCTGTGGCCTGTACAAGTTGTACGGTGGGGCTGTGTAGTAGCTTGGGTCTCGTGTGGTACAGTGTTGTCGCAACACTGTTGCTGTATGGTGTGGGTTTCATATTTCATACGTCATGATGCGTGCGAATCGTACCTCACTCTTTTTTAGCGTGCGGACCAATAGGCTCTGAAGAAAAGATGATGCTGTGCGTCTGCACGGCACCGTGTTTGAAGAAACGATGGTGCGTCTCCACGGTACCGTGTTTGAAGGAAAGATGATGCGTCTGCGCGGCATCGTGTTTGAAGAAAACAATAGGCAGCGGACTCGATGACACCGCACCCGGCTACAGTACACAGGTACGTACTGTACGGTACTGTACAGTAGTACAGGGGGGAGTCGCTCAATAGTGCCTACTTTAGTAGTGCTTCTCTCTATATAGTGCTAGGGCTCACCCTCTGGCACAGGTTATCATAAGCTCACACGTGTATCATCCGGCATGGTTCAGTACTCAAAGGATGAAGTTATTTACAGTAGTTGTGTTATACAGGCTTTGTTGTGATTGTGTTAGCAGTGTGCTTTGTCCCCAAATATATATTTGAGCCTCCTTTATATAGTGCCATCCCCCCAATAGTGCCATAGCTAGAGGTATGTCACGCTATAGCACTATATCGTAGGAGGCACTGTGTATGGAACCACAACCCGGCTACTGTAATGTACAGTAGCCGGGTTGTGCTATACTGTATATACTGCAGTACTGTATTGTAGCCGCAGATCAAGAGGGACTTACAGTCACCGGAAGACCTGGATGTACTGTACGTGTACGGTAGGTGGTCACAACAGTACTGTATGTACTCTTACAGTACCCGGAAGACTCGGACCAACAATGAGGAGCTGTTCGGCTGTTCAAAGACGGCAACCACCGTAGCAGGAATTGTCTGGACCGGAATATTTCTCTTCACTGACAGCTCACTCAAATCGGGGCCAGGCTAGGGTCCCACTGTTGGCCCGAGTGGTCTGACCAACACGTGGCGCTCGGGGTTGCAACGAACGAAGCACGAGCCCGACCGGTCTCTGAGGGCCATTCCATTCATCGTGATTGGCAATCACGCAATCACGCAATCACGCGATCACGACATTAATTTAACGTCGTTCTGCAAGTTGGAGCACAAGATTAATTTTAAGTCGATTGTTTATTTCTTTAATGATCATGACCATTTTTTAGGAAACGTAATATAAACAACCAACCACAAGGGAGCAGGCACCATTTATTGACGTGATTGCGTGATTGCGTGATTGCCAATCACGATGAATGGAATGGCCCTGAGTTGTGCGGGCGCCGACGTGTGAAGCATCAGAATCGCCCGCGCTGCATCTTCCGCTGTCCGGTGTCGCGCGACTCGAACTGCACCTACTGTTTACAGTAGGTAACATGTTACATAACATGTTAGCAACATGATGTTACAGTATGCTGTCCAGTACAGAAAGCTTTACAGCGACTTTGCGGAAGGTGTTGTTTGTGTTGTTTGTTGGTTGGTGTGCTGCACCGTACAATACAGTACTTGTACTGCACGACCTGTCGATCAAAAGTACAGTGCCCACGGTGCGGCGATGGACTGTCCCGTCGCGAGGGAGCGGAGGGAGGCGGCGCCAGTGAGCTCGGTGCTTAATGTGTACCTTATCATATACCTTACATCTTTGTTTACGACAGAGCTAAGACCCGCAAGCGCGGCGCTGTCGCGGGAGCGCAGAACGTCGCCCCGATTGCATGCCTTCCTGACACCACACTGCCACACTGCCACACCGCACTTGTATGTTTTTGTTTAAACGTTGAAACCCCGACCTCGCCTTCGGTAACGTACAGTACAGTTCCAAGTTGGAAGTTCAACTTCCAACGGTAGAGTGCTTTGCATATCCCGCACACCATCACTCTCCTGCACAAAGTTGTGGACGCAACTTGCTGTGCACTCGTCTTCAGCGCGACTGGGGCAAATCTCCCCTGTCGGGCCTGGGGCCCGACACACACACAACCACGCACAGTAGTGTACAGTATCTTCATAAATCGACACAGAAACACATCAACCGCTTGCCCTCACTTCAACTCTGAGGCACTCTCTTCGCCTTCGCCTCGCCTCACCTTTCGTTTCACCTCATCAGTCGTCACCGCTGCCCCCCCTCCCCCCCCTCCCTTCTTTTTGATTACCTTATCCCCACCGCCCCTCATTCCACGCCACCCTCCTCCTACCCCATCGCGCGTCGCGTATCACCATGGGAGGCAAACAGAGTTCCGAAGCCGGCGCCGCCGAGCCCAAGGTCGATCTCGCCGAGATCCTCAAGGAGAACACCTACTATCCTGAGAAGGCCGCCAAGTACCCCTACTTCCTAGTCCAGCTGTCCGAGACGGAGGAGCTAGAATACAAGGGCGCCCTGGTGTCGGACGCCATCGTCGAGTACATCAAGGCCCACGACGTCACACACATCATCGCCCAGACGCACGGCTGGAACACCCCGCCCGACAAGGCCGTGGCCGTCCCCTTCACCGAGTTCATGGGCGGCATGCAGAACGACGCCGCCATGCCCGACGGCGACCACTTCCGCCCCATCTTCGTCGCCTTCATCTGGTCGGCCCTGCCCATCGAGTTTGTGCGCGCCGACGACGCCCTCACGCGCACCGAGCTGCTCGCCGCCGCCGAGAAGGAAGCCACCGGCGAGGAGACCGACATTGCCAAGGCCGCGCTCGCCGCGAAGAAGGCCATCGAGGACGACAACCCCGACGATGAGGACCTCGCCAACCAGCTCAAGATCCTCGCGGACGACTCGAGGAACGACTCCGATTCGGACGACGACGAGGACTGCGACGCCAAGGTCCGCCGCCTCAAGGAGGAGGCCGTCGTCCAGAAAACAGGCTTCTTCGGCGCCATGTCCAACGTCGCTAAGATCATCCTCAACCCGTTTCAGCACTTTGCCTTCGGCCGCTTCATGGCCCGCGGCCAGCGCACTGGTAAGGTCATGGAGAAGGTCTTGGGCAAGCTCATGGTCGCCAACGGCGACGTCAAGACCAAGGTCTGCCTCATGGCCAACTCGCTCGGCGCCCACGTCCTGGCGAGCATCCTCAACAAGCCGCAGACTCTGCCGCACAAGATCCACACCGTCTTCTTCGTGCAAGGCGCCATCACGCGCGAAGTGTTCGCGGACACGAAGAAGTTTTGCGCCATTACCAATAACGTCGCCGGCCCCATCATATGCACGCATAGCGAGAGGGATCTCATGCTCAAGAACGTGTTCGGCATGTTCTTTGGTTCGGCTATCGGCCTGAGCGGCGTGGAGCGCGGCCATTCTATCCTCATGAAGGGCTTGCGACAGGCCGGGGAGGAGCCGTACAGATTCGCGTGCGGCGAGTGGACGAGCGTTAACGGGACTCAGTACGTGCCGCGAATTTTTGAAGCGAGCTTTGTGGGTGGGTGAGGTTCAGTAGTCGAGGACGATTTCTAACCAGTTTCATTGTATTTTTTTCTCTTATCGCAGGTTTATCGATGAAGGTAACGCGATCGCTGGCGGACATGGAGACTTCAAGGAAGACGAAACCACGAGCTGCTACTGGGCTGCGATCTGCACTGAAGTCGAAGATTCTTGTTACGATATGTAATTTGCGCGGATATGAGCATAAGCGGTCATTTGGACACGCGGTAGGATGCACATGAGGTCGTTACAGTACATCAAAATTGCTTGTGTAGATTGTTGGCGTGCGTGGGTGTGTGTGGTCTATTGCAGAACCCCAGGATGGAAGCAGTAAAAAGCGTCTGGATGCAAACAGCATGCGATGAACAAGGGAACAGGTTTGGGTATTTTGACTGGAAACAGGGAGACACTTCGATGGTGACGTTGTGGTTCTGTGCCATTGCTTCCATTCCATTTACCCCTCCCACAAGGGCAATCTGGGACACGTATTGAGTAATGCAAAACTGCCGCTCGCCAAAGTGCCCTGACTGCCAGCCACACGTCGTTAAACCATTGGCAGCGGACCTCGGCAGAAGGAACACTCAAAAAAGGGAGATTTTATTATCTTGATTGAACGCAATTCCGACTTTTGTTATCGAGGAACCGCAGCTCACGACAGGTCAAAAACGGTTAACTTGGGACACTCTTCTCCCAGCCATTGCAGCGACTCACAGCCATCGTAAGAACACAACTGATGATTTCACATACCGCAGTTTCTGCAGGATAGGCCCGCAGCACCGGCGTAACCCTTTTGCGTTTCCTCGTCGTCCCAACGTCTGCTTTCCCGACCCGTTGAGCTCGGGCATTTGCGTTCAAACCTGCTGTACGTTGCTTCCTTTCACGCGTTTCCTCCCTACGTCTATCGCGCTCCAAGAGCTTCCGCTGACGCCTTTCATCTTTCTCTCTACGCTCCTTAGCAAGACGCAGCACCCTAGCTTGCCGGTCAACTTCGCGCTGCCGCTTGGCCTCCTCTCGCGCTTCATTCTTTTCGTGACGCCTCCTCCATGCGTCTTCCCTTTTTATCTTTGTCTCTTCCAAGGCTTGTGCTAAGTCTGCGGCCCTCTTCTCACGCAATGCAAGAGTGTTTTTGTGCGTGAGGTACTGCGCGGGGGCGCCGCAGTACAGCATGACTCGCTTACGCAATGGAACATTTGGGAACGCTGCGCTTCTAGAGAGGGGGTCGGGAATTATGCTGCGCAAGATTGAAGATGTTGTAGTTCGCTGCTGCAGTGTGCTCGAAAGATCTGCCAGCAATTGCTGTGGTTGGGCAACTGTGTTCACAATGTGACGTACCTCTTCGACAGTGTGATTATCGCTCTGGCGGAGCATGACAGAAGTTAAACGGGATGCCACACCACTTTTGTTAACTCTTTCTCGGTACTGCATGCCTTGCTCACGTCTTGTGTCGTTATTCGTCTTAAACTGCTTGGCTACGCTTGGATTTAAAGGAAATAAACCACATTCCCGAAACGAACGCTTCGCGTCCTCACCGGTTATGGCATCGTGTGCGACAACCCCCAGCATTAGTTTGAGCTTAACTGTTTTTGTATTAGTGAGGGCCATTTTGCCAAGCTCGGACTTCGTCTCTCGGATCGAATGTTTGAACTTTTTGTTCACAAATTTGTCGCACGGCTGCAAAACATGCGATGTATTCGCTGGAGCTTGCACCACGTCAATATTGTGGCTCACACACCGTCGCAGCCACTCGACCCCATTTCTAGAGCTATGCCCATCGAGCGTTAGGAGAATCTTTTGAGATGGGTGTACAAATTTCCTCACAAAACTGTTGAAATGGTCAATAAACGCTGCAAGTATTTCCATCTCCATGCTTCCGTTATCGGTGAGTTTGTGAACGCCGTTGTCTGGAAACCATTGATTTTCACAAAGCTTGTGTGGTAGTCCATCTTTGTCGCAGTATACATCTCGAGGCAGCGGCTCAAACCAGTCAGCGTATTTGCGCTTCCCACTGATGACAAAGAACGGTGGAGCTTTGAGACCGCTTGCAGACACCGCTATGACCGCCGTCACATGTCTCCCTGAGCCCTTCGAATTGCCTGAGTTGCGAAACCCTCCATGATGCGTGGAGGAGGACCCGTATACTTTTTCTCTTTTGCCATGCTCTGCATCAATGGATGTTTCGTCCATATTCCATACACGGTCTGGGTCCTGCATTAATCCCGGGTTTGATACTTCGAGACGACGTAGCACCTGAAAAAAGGTGTCAACATGATAGTAGTTTTCCCCTTTCAATCTTGCGTTGTCCTTGTCTTCTTGGTTGCGGTATGCCAGTTCACGATGCCTAGCCCGAAAAGAACGTATTACATCCGGGCCAGGGATACCATTTTTCCATCCCGGGCGTCCATCGCTGGCAATCTTGGTCATCAAAGTCTTGAGCATATCATCATTGATTGCGAACCCTCGCGACGCCGCACAGACGATTTGGTCCGATAGCATCTGCTCTTCGACTGCAGATAGAACCGATTTCCTTCCTGGTACTGTAATAGTGGTGTCTATGTAAGCATGAAGCTGCTCGTGGTCGCGCTCTCGTATAAGCTTGGCGAGGCGGCCAACGGTAGACTTCGAAACAGAAGTCATTTGAGCAACTTGACGAATTTTTCTGTTCTGTCGGAGAAGTCCAACCGCTAACCGTCTTTTTTCTGTTTTTGCCTGTTGCCGCTCTGCTCTGTTCTTTAGGTTTGACGTTTGCTTTCGCATTGAAGGTGCCATATTGTTGAGAGCGAGATGTGAGAACCATTCATCCCATTTTACGCGTGCATGAGGTTGAAATAGTATGCAAAAGGAGCACAGTGTTCGAACAGGCCGTGTTATTGTTTGTTTGCATGCTTTTTCGTATTTTCATGAGTTTGGCGGGAAGCCAAGCGCAAGACCTGTTCGGGATTGGATCAACGGTCGGTGCATTACGTCTGGATCAAGGTAGAAGGGATATCACTATTAAACATTGATCACATAAGGGGAACTGTGTAGATTTGCATCGATTTTGGCGTCCCAAATTGCCCTTTGTCCCAAAAATCCCTTTTGGGAGGGGTACATGATCTCCTTTCCTTTTGGGGAGGCTTATGATGATGCAAGGTCACCCGATCTACTGAAAACCATACAGTATTGTCCTCTTGACCCAATGAGACGTCCGTGACTTACAGTACTGCGTTTTTTGCAGCACCAAAAATAACCTTTTCTGCTTGTACTACAGTACAAGCAGAAAAGGTTATTTTTTAGAAATTTGTCAGACGGAGGGCATCAACGCACTACATACAGTAACTTTAGTCCATACAGTACTGTATCATCGGGCTCCGAAAACATGAACCACGTCGTAATTGTGAACCTAATTCATCGTTAATTGGGTGACAAAAACTGCTTGCTGTCAGCCCTAAATGTGGTTCTATTCGTCTACTGCAGAATCGGCTCTTTATATTTAAATACAAATCAGCTAACGAGTTTGCGCGCGCTTTTTCCCATAGAAACACATCCCTTCCCAATGCTCCGACCGACTTTAACATTCCACACGCCTTGCCCTAACGCTCGAGATTTGTCTTGTGCCTTTCCCCCATCAGCGGCTAACGGATGGTATCGAAACGCGTTTGCGCCCCTCCGGGGCACAAGGGAGTGAACTCTGTTCCAGTCCAACAAGCTCTCGCCCACTACCACAATTGGCAACTCTCAATAAGAAAGTGCGCAACGATGCACCACGTTCCCTACTCTACCCTGCGTCGCGCTGCACAGCCGAAACAATCTGCAGCAACCCCACAAGGCCGCCCACCTGTGTTATGCGCCTCAGAAGAAGCGTTTATTGTGGATGCCGCGCTAGACTTTTTGCAAAAAGGCACACCTTTGTCACGAGAATGCTTGAAGTCTCTTGTTGCTACTTTTGTACAATCCCTCCCTCTGCAGCGACAAAAAAAGATACCATTTAAAAATGGAAGGCCTGGGAATGGCTATTTGCACAGATTCTTTGCACGGCACTCCAGGCTAACACTCAAGCGCAGGTCAAGTCTAGAAAAAGCGTGTCAATTAGCGATGTCGCCATCAAACTTGGCATCACATTTCGTGCGTCTCGCACAAGTGTACAAGGAGCTTAAGATAACGTCGGCTGAACAAATTTTTAACATTGACGAAAGCGGCTTTTCCACACGTATAGCCGCACGCGCTCGAAGCAAAGCTGTGTTTGACGCGAGTGGGAAAAGTAACTCAACCGAATTAAAGTGGTCTGGCAATGCTGGGCATGTCACCATTATGCCAGTTGTGTCTGGAGACGGGCGGGCTTGGAGCCCACTTACAGTGCTGCCTGGCAAAAAACCAAACACCGCATTCGCTCTGACGGAACGAGAGAAACTCCTGCTAGCTTTCTCCCTCCCAATTTCTATTGCGTGTACCGGGAGAAGGCTGTTGTGAACTCCGAAATCTTCTATCATTGGACATTAAAGTTTCTGGAGGAGACCAAAATACTGCGTGAGAAACACCGCCACATTGTTCTCACAATGGATAGTTACGGTGCCCAATGCACGTACAGGTTTCTTAACGCCCTCAAGAACGGCCGTGTTGTTGTCATCGGTCTGCCCGCCCACACAAGTCACAGGACTCAAGTGCTCGATTATGCGGTTTTTTCGCCATTCAAGACGTCGTTTCGAAACTTGTTGAACAGTAGAGCGTATTGCGTTGCGGGAAAAACGAATGACATCTACACACTCTGCGAAATACTGACACGGGCGTACTACGAGTCCGTCCGTCTGGACAATATCATAAGCGGTTTCGATGCATGCGGTGTGTGGAAAAGAGGACATGGGGGAGCTAATGCTGGTGTGATCCGGCAGACTGATATCACCAATTTTGAGAGGGATGAAGACCAGACGGCAGCATTCGACACATACAAGGATCTTGTCAAAGCATTCACACATTCCCGAAATATGCTGCGCAGTGACAGCAGTGTCATTGAAAGCGGTACTTTGATAACGAGATCAGGAGCTTTATTGACAAGGGATGATGTACTCAAGGTGCTTGAAGAGCGTTCTTTGCAGCGCCAAGAAGCAGCGTTGCAGCGTGAGGTGCGGGCGGCCGAAGCAGCCGCAAAAAGGGCACAGAAAGAGCGGGAGTTGGAGGAGAAGCGTCAGCAAAGGGTGGAGGAGGAGGCGCGAAAAGAGCAGCACCGCATCTGGCTTGCTCAAATGTCTGCTCGAGCGGAGCGTCTGAAAGCTAACCGGCCCCAGCGTCGGGCCCAGCGCCAGGTTGCTGCGAGGCTAAAAAGCAGCTATTCAGGCAGCGAATAACCTGTGCAACCAAGTCACTGATCAATTATGAATAAAATTCGTGGGGCGAAAATATCATATGTGATCCACATTTTCAGCACAGTGAGGCTCATAACGGCTACTTGTTCATGGGAAGCGATGGCGTTGTTACGGTTTTCCTGTATTTCAACAGCCAATCCCAAAGCGATGTATGGATTTAGAGGCATGCTTTGGAGCTTTGTACCAAGTTGTAGGAGAATTGGACAATTTCTTCATTATTTACCATTCAAGATGTTGAGACTGATCCATAATATGGTACCCCCTAATACCGTTCTGCAGACCCGACTTAGAGTGGACCGACCCCTTATTGGGTCCATTCAAAGAGTCCATTCAAAGAGTCCATTCAAAGAGTCCATTCGAGGGCTGCGGTCCCCGCACTGTCAGCCCAAACGAGTGTCTCTCTGTAATGTACACTGTACTGTAGCGGTACAGTACTTGCACACTTCTCGCAGACCGCATCGCTCTTGTCACGCGTCGGCGCCCGCACAACTCGGAGACCGGTCCGGCTCGTGCTTCGTTCGTTGCAATCCCGAGCGCCACGTGTTGGTCAGACCACTCGGGTCAACAGTGGGACTCTAGCCTGGCCCCAATTTGAGTGAGCTGTCCAATCAGTGAAGAGAAATATTCCGGTCCAGAGAATTCCTGCTACGGTGGTTGCCGTCTTTGAACAGCCAAACAGTTCCTCATTGTTGGTCCG